TTTCACTCCTAACCCTAAAGCCCAATTTTCCAACCATTTTTCCTATTTAAAGAAGAGTTCCCCCACGAATTAAAGCACGATTTTGGAGAGAGTTCAGGGAGGTTCAAGGTTCGAGAGGTCAGAAGCAAGTGGGAACGTTTTAGAGAGAGAAAGTGAGGTTCTTGGAGAAGGAAGAGCTGCTGGAGCAGTGCTGGAGCAAGGCAATGACGACGTTTTCCTACAACATTTGTTTTCATCTTCTTTTATGTTTTCTAATGAGTTCCTTCTTTCTTTTCTCTGTTTTGTTTAATTCCATTATGAGTTAATTTGCTCTATAGGTTAGGTGATAAAGTACTTATGCTGTAACATTGAGATGTATGTCTAAACTTTGTTTATGTTAATGTTTAATTAGTTATTCAACGAGTTTGCTTAATCTTATTCATGTGTGCATGTCGAGAGATACATATGTGATATTGAGGAGGTTAGGGCCGGGAGGTTTCCGAATCCAGACACTTGTTGAATTGTGTGGATTAATTAGGTTAAGTTAACTTAATTAAGTTGTGGGTAGAGAGATCATTCACACCACATAGCCTAGAACTTGAACTTGAATAATTCAGTGATTAGTTTGGCCATAGAGATGTGAGAATTAATTATTGGGTATATATGTTAGGTTGGCCAAAAGCCCCAGCATACCTTAGTGTTCGGTTATTAATTAAGCATTGATATAGCATCGTTAAAGCATCGTTTCAGTATTGCTGTATCAGGGAAATTGAACCTGACCTATATTTCATCCATCATCTTAATACCTTTAATTTTAGTTTACTGCTTTCTTAATTTTAATTGTCTTTTATTTTACAAATCCAATCATCACAATTAATCATTTTACCTACTTTCTTCACCTAAATAATCATTACTTGACACTTATCTCCGTGGGAATGATACTTGGACTCACACATCCCTTTATTACTTGTGACACGTGCACTTGCGTATTTGGGTGGAAGATTTAATTGATTACAAATTGCACAAGTACTCATCAACTGATGTAACAGCCCGTTACGTACCGGTAATGTTATCATTGCATATGGTATTAAGCGCAGTTACAATCACCGTAATTGAGTTAATTAAATCACGGGTAAACTTTTTCCTTTTATTAAATCCTCATTGTTAAACATTACCCATTGCCGTAATCAATTAAAAACAACACCGTAATTGTAAATGCAAAACATGCGGAAGCATAAAACTTATTAATTACAACCCCTACAAGTAATACCATTTAATCTAGGTTGTAAATGACTCATTTTCAAAATTTTGTAGAGTGGGAATCGATTCCCCACAGCCAGGAATCGATTCCCAGCAGCTACAGTAACAGACAATAGCTAAAATTTGACTCCCCTGTTTTGAGGAATCGATTCCCACCCAAAGAGAATCGATTCCCTGGAGCAGAGGACATAAAATTCAGCTACTGTGATGTTGGGAATCGATTTGTTCACTACAGAAACACATTTTGACATCTTTTAAAACACAAAAGGGGTGATGTAATCAACTCCTAACACCTTAATACTCATTATACCACTTACACAAGATCTAATGTAGGCTTTGGACCCTTCCATCATGTGTATTCTAATACCAATGTGACAATTACAATGGTTCCCAATACCATAGCCATTTTAAACATCAAATGATCTATTTACAACACAAGTCTTCCAATGCATTAAAGCACAAATATGTGGCCATGGACAAGTCTCATGCTCACTCAAAATACTAATATAATCAAAAGGCATATATATACATCAATTTCAAAGGACATAAAATATAGTCATGAACATACAAAAGCATGGCAATATCAACATGCAATACGTTCATAACCTAAGTCCAAATATTAAACACTATGCTATATGCTTCAAATGAAATCCTCCAATATGTTATGCCCTCCAAATGCACCTCATGCTCAACTCTTCCTCTAAGCAGGCCTCTTGCCCGAAGATACTCCATGCTCAACATGACCTGAAATGATGTCCTCAAATGCGGGGTGAGATATACAAATATATCTCAGTAAACCAAGTGTACTAGAGGATCACTCCACCCCATGGCTCACTCAATGTGCAACAATAACATAATGTAAAATGCATAACATACAAAATCGCAAACAACTGGGCACAAATCCAAGAACATCCACATAAGGATTCTGTTCAAGGACCCCATCATATAACTCCCGGGAAGCTTCCTGGTGCCTCTCCCATGGATGAGACGACCCCATGGAAAAATCCAATTGGAACTCCTCATGAGCCCTATCTAGCGGAAGTCCCACGTTTGGATCATCCTGGTGCCCTTCCCAGAGTCGTCCCCATGGAAAAACTCGACCGGAATCCCCAAAGGATATCTCCAGCGGTAGTCTAAACCACACACATCTACTAACCAGAGATCACAATATTTCACACACAACATGCTCCAAGAATGTCACACAATCAAGAATTAATGCAGGAACATACATATTCACACAATGTCAAAAGGCAAAAAATCCAACCACAACCTTCCACTAGGTGTGGTGGAGCACACAAGGGATTAAAACCCAAGTTTCAAAGGTTTACCTCAACTCCGCAATATTGCTCTTACACGTAAGCTCCAAGCTTACTCCAACCTTCCACTTGGTACATACTCGTGACAAATGTTTTAAACTTCACGGGTACCCACCTGGCTATAAGCCCAAAATGCCACGGTCCAATTATTCTAACCCTCAGTTTTCCCAGGACCATCCCCAAGCCCACTCCATCCTTGGGGTTCCACCTACTTCCCCTCATTACCGTCCCCACCACTATCTCCCTAATCCCCATCCCTTTGTTCCTGATGCCCCACTTGCCTTTACACCGACACAGTACAACCAGCTGCTTACCCTCATTCAACAGAGTTCTGCCACGTCTCCTTCCTCCACCGCTTCATCAATCGTCGAGTCTTCTCCTTCCGTAGCTAGCCTTCGCGGTACGTCCTCTAATTCCTTCCCTTCCACCTGTTGGATATTAGATACGGGTGCGACGCACCACGTCTGTATTTCTCTTCCTTTTTTTCAGTGTTCTTCTCCTTCTGTGTCTCGTATTTCCTTCCCTAATGGTTTTTCTTAGGCTGTGTCCTCTGTTGGTTCTGTTTCTATTTCTCCTTCCCTTTCTCTCCTTAATGTTCTTTACGTTCCCTCTTTCTTGTTCAATCTCCTCTCTATCAGTGCCTTGACCCGTGATTCTCCTGTGATTGCTAATTTTTCTTCTTCTTTTTGCCTTCTTCAGGATCGTTCTTCGGCACGGATGATTGGGATTGCTAGGCATCGTGGTGATCTTTATGTTCTTGATAGTTCTAATCTTTTTCCCAAAGACTTTGTTCCCCCACCCCTTTGTTTTTCAATTTCTGTTAAAGATCCAATTATCTGGCATTCCAGACTTGGACATCTTTCTTCTTCCGTTTTAAATTCCATGAAATGTACTTTGGGTTTATCTGAATGTTTAAAGGCTGATCATCACTGCTCCGTGTGTCCTTTGGCGAAACAAAAACGCCTCCCCTTTATTCTGAACCCCCAATTATCTGCTTCCCCCTTTGCTTTGGTTCACTGTGATATCTGGGGTCCCTTCAGCACTGTGTCTGTTGAGGGTTCCCGTTATTTTCTTACTTTGGTTGATGATTCCACTAGATTTACCTGGATCTATTTTCTTCGCACTAAATCTGAATTTTCCACTGTTTTTCCTATTTTTTGTCAATTTATTCAGACACAATATCATGCTTCCATTAAAGCTCTCCGATGTGACAATGCTTCTGAGTTTAACTTATCTTCATTCTTCTCCTCCAAAGGTATTCAAATCTTCCACTCTTGTGTCGATCGTCCCCAGCAGAACTCTGTTGTTGAGCGTAAGCACCAGCATCTCTTAAATGTGGCCCGTGCCCTCCACTTCCAATCCCAAGTTCCCTTATCCTACTGGCAAGATTGTGTCACTACTGCTGTTTATCTTATTAACAGAACCCCTTCCCCCCTTTTGTCTTCTAAATCCCCCTTTGAATTACTTTGCCATAAACCTCCTACTTATGATCACCTCCGTGTTTTTGGGTGTCTATGCTACAGTTCCACCCTCCCCAAAACCCGTCACAAATTCTCACCCCGTGCTTTACCTGCAATCTTTCTTGGCTATCCTTCTGGCTATAAAGGTTATAAATTGCTAGACCTGACTTCATATAAGACTTTTATTTCTCGTGATGTTGTGTTTTTCGAACACATTTTCCCCTTCACACTTTCTTCTCCTCCCTCTTCTTTTCATACTGACCTTACCACTCTGCCAACTCCCTCTTCAAATAACTCTGATGTTTCCCTTATCCCACCTCCTTCTATTGCTTCTAGGCCCACTCGAAATAAACAACCCCCTGCTCATCTATCTGATTATCTTTGTTCCTCAGCCTCTCTTTATCCTTTATCAAATTTTTTATCCACTGCCAAACTGTCCCCTTCCCACACAGCCTTTGTAAATTCTATTTCTTCCCATTTTGAACCTTCCTCTTATTCCCAAGCTTCCCAATTACCTGAATGGAAGGAGGCTATGGAAGCTGAACTGTCTGCTCTTCAGTTGAATCACACTTGGTCTAGTGTTTCCCTCCCTCCAGGAAAGCAAACTGTTGGTTGTAGGTGGGTATATAAAGTCAAATACAATTCTGATGGGTCCCTTGAACGGTATAAGGCCTGTTTGGTTGCTAAGGGATTCAATCAACAAGAGGGCATTGATTTTTTGGAAACCTTTTCTCCTGTAGCTAAATTGACCACTGTGCGGGTGCTTCTTGCTTTGGCTGCAATTCACAATTGGTCATTAACACAATTAGATGTCAATAATGCATTTCTGCATGGTGAGCTTCTTGAGGAAGTTTTTATGGATTTGCCCCCTGATTTCTCTTCTATGCAGTCTTCTCTCCCTCCTAATGTTGTTTGTCGCCTTCACAAGTCACTTTATGGTCTTAGACAGGCTTCTCGATAGTGGTTTGCGAAATTTTCCTCAACTATGCTCAATCTTGGTTACATACAATCTCAATCTGATCATTCTTTATTCATTAGAGCTACTGCTTCTTCTTTCATTGCTATTTTGGTGTATGTAGATGATATTATTATTGCATCTAACAACCCGCATGAAGTACAGGCTCTTACATATCTACTGCATAATCAATTTAAGCTCAAAAACCTTGGTGATCTCAAATACTTCCTTGGTCTTGAGGTGGCCCGAAGCTCCAAGGGTATTTCTCTGTGTCAAAGACAATATGCTTTTGAAATTTTGAAGGACTCAGGCAATTTAGGCAGCAAGCCTCGCACTACTCCCATGGATGTTGGCCTCAAGCTCTCTTCTACTACTTGTGCTCCTCTTCCTGATCCTTCTGTCTACAGAAGACTCATTGGACGCTTGCTGTACCTCACCATTACTCGGCCAGACCTCTCCTATGCTGTCAATTTTCTTAGTCAGTTCATGTCATCCCCTCGTGAGCCTCATCTACAAGCTGCACATCGACTACTTGGTTATGTCAAGAACACAATTGGTCAGGGCTTATTCTACTCTTCTACTTTTTCCATTAAGTTCAATGCTTTCTGTAATTCTGATTGGGCTGCATGCCCTGAGAGCCGTCGCTCCATCACTGGTTTTTGCATTTTCATTGGTGATTCATTGATTTCCTGGAAGTCTGAAAAGCAACCCACTGTTTCTCGATCTTCTACTGAGGCCGAGTATCGTTCTATGGCTAACGCTACTTGTGAAATACTATGGTTATTTGCCTTGCTGAAGGATCTTCATGTTCCCCATCCTGGCCCTGCCCATCTGTTTTGTGACAACATGTCTGCTCTCCACATAGCTGCCAATCCAGTGTTCCATGAGCGCACCAAACACATCGAGATTGACTGCCACCTTGTCCGTGAACACATACTTCGGGGCACCTTGAAGACGTTCACAGTTCCTTCCTCCAAACAGATTGCAGACCTCCTAACGAAGCCTCTTTTACCTTCTCAGTTCTCTGTTCTTTTGTCCAAGATGGGAGTTTTAAATATACACTCTCCATCTTGAGGGGGGCTATTAGCATATAGAATTAATATTTTTACTTTTGCTGAGCTGTACAGTTTGTTATGTGGTCACATGGTATTTTCTGTTGATGCTTTCTGTTAGCAGTAGTGAGGTTAGTGTGTGTGCATGTGCACTCTTTTCTTACTCCTTTTCTGTTACGATTGTAAGGGGCTACATATACTGCCTTTTGTACTCTTTCTCAGCAAGCAATGCAATGAGGTATATTTAGAATTTGTTTTTGGTACTCTGAATCTAATAACCTATATGATCAAACAACAATGATCAAAAACACTTGCATAATATTCATCAACTTTACAATAATAATTACCAACAAAGTCACTTAGGCCTAAGGCTATTTTTCCATTTGTCTCAACTATCTCAATCATTTTAATCCTTGAACTAACTCATCATCATAACCATGTATGCACCAAGGCACCAATCATTGATTTTACAATATTTTTCTCGCCATTTTCCTCCAATTTCCTTTATAGGTTGAATTCCCACATACACATATATATATCCAATGCTCTTCCATCCAAATCCACACATCACACCAACCTACCATCCATTTAAACACCAATCACAATCATACAACACCATTTATACCACTTTTATATCATCAAACCATTTATGACCTCAATAGGTCGAATTCTTCATGCTAGGGTCCCACATGATTTTTAATCCATTCCAGCACTTCTACACATCATACAATCTTATAATTCACTCATACAGTTACTCCATAACTCAATTACACAATCCTATCATCATGCCATCTCACAAAGTATTGAAATTCCAACACTTTCCAACCATAACTTTCACTAAGTTTTAAATTTACAAATCCCAATAATTTTTATTGCACCAATCATCATCATTTATCATTCTAAGCATTTAATTCCAAAGGAGGCATACCATTTAATGCTTCTAACTACCACAACTCAATACACATAATCAAAACCCTTACTAATTTTATGATCTCATAGAAAACTCAATGAGAGTGAGAAATCTTACCACCAATAGCCTCCAATGGTCTAAGTGAGTGATCTCCAACCAATGGTTCAACACAAAAAGTCCCAAAAATTCTCCAAAAACCCACCAATTTCGTGGCGGAAATAGGGGTATATCTCCCTCCACAATGATCCCCACAAGGTGCACTCTACATGAAAGTCACTCACAATCTCAAGGAGAACAACTTTGTAGTTGGAAGTTTCTCTCAAAAATGGCTCCAACTCAAGGTTTCAATTTGAAGAGCGTTTTTTCCCTTAACCACGGTGAAACCCGCAGGAGGAAGAAGAGAAAAGGAGAGAGAAAATCAGATTTTGTATCTCACTTTGTCCTTTTGCCACTTAAATCACTTAAGTGGGTCCCACATGTCACTTAACTTTCTTAAATCATCCATTTTAACTCACAAATTCATAACCTACGTATTTTTCTTGTTCACGTCATATTTTTTCTTCTTAGAAATACTGATAATATTTTCACGCTTTTCGATACAATTATACCGCAGTATTTTAAACCGGTAAAATCACTATTCATCAAATTTTCTGAAACTTGCCTATCCACTCAATTTTTCGTTCTGAATCCATTTTCAACATTATTTTTACCGTTTGAGACCTTCTACTCAATTTTTCTTGTCTCAGGTTACGTGTTTGGTAAATTACCATTTTACCCTTCTTATGCAATTTGACCCTAAACTCAAGATTTTCACTAATCCCACCATTTACTCATCATTATCTCATATAATTATACATTTAGAAATACGAGGTGTTATAACTGACATCGAGCCCTGCACCAACTGCTCGAACTATCCCTGTTTCCTCTCCTGCGCATCATAGGGAAAATACCTCCCTAGAAAACACTCCTCAAAGAATGGCCATGTGATAACATGACCCTGCATCTCATAAATCTAAGAGGTGTTCGTCCACCAGTCATGTGCATCCCCCTCTAACATGTGGGTAGCAAACAACAACTTTTGCGGATCGGTGCCCTGCATAACTCTGAAGATCTTGTCCAAAGACTGGAGTCATCTCGCGGCAACAATAGGATCCTAGGATCCATCAAAAGAAGGTGGATTATACTTACGGAAAGCATTCAGCCGACGGTCAATGGTCTCTCTATCCTCTACTAGCTCATAAAATAGTTGCATAATCTCGGTGAGGTGACTAACACCCTCCATGCGACTCTGACTATCGTCCTCGAGAATATGTGTCCTAGCTCCTCCATCACCCTCCTGGTGACTAGGTGGAGGCGGTGGTGGTGGTGGAGGAAACTGGCCTTCATTACGGTCAACTCTCATCTCCTCCAACATGACCCTCATCAAGGTCATGTTCGCCAGTCGGTTCGCCTCGAGCACATCCTCTGTGGCTTTTCGGTTTGCCTCTCTAATGGCGTCCATCAGAGCCTAACTGGCCACTCTCGTGGCCTCCTGATCAGCTTGTCTAGCCGTCTGCATTTCAGCCAATGCAGCCAGGACCGGATCAGGCTGACCCTCGCTCATCTCACGAGTCCTCCGGGGAAGTACCATGACTTTGCACATGTTACACAAAGAATGAGTTGATCAGGCCCACACTATGTGGTCACACATGCATCATCATAGTAAAACCCAAATAGAACTCACAAGATAAACACACAGCAAAACATCCTAAGTTATTGCAATACATACAGACTTTTTCTCTAGAAAGTGCTCTGATACCATAAAATGTAACAACCTGTGTGCACCCGGTGTATTAAACATATAATGGCAATGGCGCAGCTAATTAAATTCGGAAGCTAACTTTTTCTTTTCAACTATGAAGTCTTCATTATTAACCAAGTTGATTACTTATTCCTCTTACAAAATGTCGCGTGTATGTAAATTGCAATAAATAAATAACTGAATAACCTCATTTAATAAATGTGTATCTAGTCACGGAACTACAACACGTAGACCGGATAATATCCTGATACATTATACAACTCCAGACTAAAAGCATGACAAGCATCATTGTGGCATGGACAACCCCCATGCTCACCAAATAAGGCAACAAATCCCAACAGAGTCTCAAATCAAATAACCATATAAAGAAAGTAAAGCATGGTCAACATCCAGGAAAATCAATAAAACAACATGCATCTCAACTCAACTCCGGCCTCCTTTCGCTAGAGGTATCAACCCCCGAGGTACCTGTACATGAAATGTGCCCCAACACGGGGTGAGATCTCTAAAAAGAAATCTCAGTAAGACAAGAGGTCCTCAAGGATCTCTCCACCCAAAGCTCACTTACATGTACAATATAAGTTCCAAAACAGTATAATAATATCATTTCCAAAATCTGTGCAATGCAATGTAACAGCACGTTATGTATCTGTATTATTAACATTGATTATGATATTAAGCGCAGTTACAATCACAACAATCATTTAAAATTGCGAGTAAACTTTTTCCTTTTCATTACGTATACCTTTGAAAACAATATAAAACGTAATGATATAAACTGTGATCATAACTGAAATTTATATGCAGAATTAACATTGCACATGCTTAACTATCATACAATATTTATTTTAGGTTGTTAAGAGGTTCCCATAAACTAACTTAGCAAAAATCTAGCTTTTTCACCTTTCCTAACATTGAACATGCTTCTGTCTTTTCACTTTTGGGCGTGATTCACACATTATTAATTTACCATCTTTTAGTATCTTAAAATAGATTCACCATAAGGTATCACACGCCTCATTTGGAGTTCTATAACTCGGATATGCTCACCATAAGTTGATCCATCAAAACTGTAAACAGACTCTAAACAAAACATGATAGCAACTTATAAATCAAACTAGAAATGATCCATATAATGGTCCTAATACTTTACCAAGTCATAGCCTTATGTTTTAGCTTCATATAGGTTCAAACCTCACTCGATTTGGAGCCCTATAGCTCAAGTTATATCCATTTTACTAAATCATGTATGAGCTTGGAACGTGTGACGTTCCTCCATACACGGGACGTTCCCTATACATATAAGTTGATCCCTAGGGCCGTTCTTAAGAGTTGTTCCCCTTATGGGTCGTTCCCACCATCTGAACCAAAGGCATTATCATCCCCTAAACAACAGTCATTCCCGTTCCTGCTATCGGAACAACACTTCCATTTTAACATTTTAAGGTTTAGCAGCGTTAGTTATAATCCAAACTGGGAGTGATCCACTACCTATAAATTTCGAATTTTGGTTACAAGAAACCAGATTCCTGGGGCTTTAATTTGACATATCATAAGCCTAATTTGAGTAAGAAATAAGGGAGATATGAATTTTTGAAAACTGCTTACAGAAGCTGCATTCTACAGCGCGGAACAGAGTATTCGTATTCATTTCAAAACTGGGAAAGTTCTACTATTCCGAATGATATCAAGTTTTGACACAACATAGCTGACATCTTAAGCTTCAAAATGATATATGGTACGTCCCTATTGGACCTTTGTGGAAGAAGATATGCTCTTCCAAAGTTAGCCTAAAAAATGTCATTTTAGTATAAATTTTGGCGGCACCTCCTTTGTTTATTCAACCTATCCCACTTTATCAAAAATGTGTTATTATAGCTCAAGGGTACCTAATAGACAAGGGTGGCACTCAAGGACCAACAATGCCTTGGTGCTCTTACAACCCACAACAATTTAACATATTCTCATCCATTTATGATTCATTACATACTTTGTTCATTATACAATATGCATAATCCTAAATCAATATATAATATTCATGCCCTAAGTCTAGCCTATGCCAAAGTGGTCGCAAAATGCAAAAATCCTCCAATCTCCAAGTGCTCATCCTATGGGCCTCTTGCCCACAGCTCTAGTACCACTGCTACTACCTGAAATAAAGTCCCCAAAACGGTGTGAGATATACGAATATATCTCAGTAACCCAGAGGTTCTGGAGATTACTCCGCCCAATGTCTCACTTCGATGCATATCAATAATATAATACAACATTCAAAACGGGATAAAGCAAGGGATTTAGTGAAGTAAGGGAG